GCACCTTCCACCCTGCCATTATGGTGAGGAAGGATCTGCGTGAGAGAGCTTCCTGTTTTGCCATCTATTGGGACATGTTGTAGAGGATTAAAAACACCTCTCTGAACTTTCTATCAAAGTGCTTGTGCAGCTGAATTAGATTAGAATCACCACGATAGCATTTCGTTAAATGAAAGTAGCTGAGTAACAATGAGGGAAGAGAGCTGTGGTCTCTACATGTTTCTGATGCTGTTTTATCAGGGGCATGACTCTTTTATTTAAGCTGATACAATCTGTCCTGTTGCGCAGTAATCAAGCTATTGTGGGGAGAAGGTGCCTTTCTCCCAGGTGACCTTTTCTTTCAGTGTAGGACCTTTAAACAGGCAGAAGCTGTGCTATTTCATACACAGATAAGGCAGAAAATGCACAGGCTGTAAGAACAGGATTGACCTTCCCTCTCCTTCCATCTACACACACACATCATTTAGATAAATTGCACAATTTATTTGACCAGGAAGATTTTTAGGGAAAAATCCACTTAAAATGAAAGAAGTGTAAAAATACATTTGAAAATATGTGTTTTAATACAAACTAACTGTCGTCATGTGGTTGTGTAAAGAAATGAATACCTGCCACTGTGTTCATCGACACCAAAATTAATTTGCTTCTCCAAAGAAAAGGTTTTGAATAATCTGTCCACCATTCCTAAAAAAATTCTTCATGAACCATCAGTATTTTATTTTCACTTTGCTCTCTCCCAGGACAAAATTAGTAAGAGATGGATTGTGCTTTCCTTACTGTGCAACCCATCAGCCATTTTCACACTACTAAATAGAGAAACGTTCTTTTAGGGAAAGAGAGATTCCTGTTGTTGGAAAGATTTATTAGGAGTAGGGTCAATGTAATACATTCCCTAGCCTGCAAAATCCAAGCCATTTTTTCTGGTGCTGGTATGTGGCACATTATTATCAGTGGATACTCTCAATGGAAAATGTTTTCTTCCTAGTTATTACTAGACTTCTGTTGGGTTTTGATTTCTGGTGATCAAAAGAACCCTGTAGTCCTACTGAGAGAAAGAGATGCTATCTCTGCTGTAGCCAAGACATGATATATATGTGGCTTTGAAAGTTAGAACCAAAGCTTTATACTGGAAGTGAAAGACCAAAGAAAGGATCAAAGTTTAGGAGTGATGCATGTATGACAGCATCAGATGGGCTGCAGCATGCCTAGCAGGGAATCACTATAAAGGTAACACCCACAGATGCTTACAGAGTGAATTAGCAGTTCTGAGGAAAGAGTGCAAGGTGAGTAGAAGTGCTTCTATGTTGCTGAGGTTTTGTTTTCTTGTTTAAGTTTGTGCAATATTATTGAATTTATTTACTTTAAAGGTACCAATGGTTTGTAATTTTAATTTTATGCAAGATCTACCGGTGCTTTCTACCTCAACCGCTTAGACTGTCAAATAAGGCACGTTAATGTTTCTTTCAGATAGCTGAAAGTAAGATCAGTTAATGTGCCAGCTCCCTCTCCTCCAAGTTTTTTAACTAATTTCAGATTTATTTTGGCACACAGCAGCTGCAGTAACTTGAAATTCATGATAAGAGATTAATGATTTGCTGTATATATTCCTAAAAGTCTTCAGATGTGTATGTTATAGAACCGTGTGCCAGCAAGGGTCAGAATTAAAGCTTCCCTTAGTATTACAAAGATTTAAACATGTCACCTTTAATATTCACACTCTCTGGCTCCTGGCATATCTGTTTCATATCTGACATTCGTGGTGTTGACTGACTCCCAACAACCTGCAGCTGAAAGGACTTAAAGCTTTTCATCTTTCTAAGCAGACATGAACAAATTAATCCGCCCCCAAATCCTGTGATGGTGGACATACAATCATTTTATGGAGCCACGTACATGACTTGCTCAAGGTCGCCTGCCGTTGTTGGACTTACAGCCAGGATTAGGATTCAGGTCTTAATTCAGGTCCCCAGTCCTCTGCTCAGATAGCTATGGCACGCACTTCTGTGCAGCTTATGGACAATACTTCTTTTGCCTAAAAATGTCCTCAGAATTACAGTTAGAGGTTGTAAGAAATCGAGGAGGTCATCTGGATTTATTGCAGCAGCAGCCAGCACAAGTATAAACTCCGTGCGTTCACACTCTTATGCTTCAATGTAAGGGAATTTAGATCACATTTTTGCCCGGGGAAAAAAACCCAAACAAACCCAAATAATATCATTGGCAGTGTTTCCTAGCTGCTTTGCAGACCTGCCATTTGTCTATGCTCAAAAAAGCTTTACAAAGGTAGGACAGCAGATCACGTTCAGGAAAAACATTTTACAAAGCTCCTAATGTTCAGGTCTTCCTTCTAGCCACCTCAGTAATACAGTAAGCATTATTGGAAAGACTAAGAAGGTCCAAACAGCTTTATAAGAGGCAGGAGAGAAAATGGGAATCTTGTTATATACAGCTTTCTGCAAATTGTAAATGCAGAAACCTGTGTTTCAAATTAATTCAGCAACAAAAATCCTATTGATTTTTAGCAGTGGAGGAATGCATTCATTCTGTGTTTTGCCACGTGAATTTTCTCAGAGCTCAGCAAGGCTATTCAGAATAATCCCAGCTTGCGGGACTGTTTAGGTCTTAAAGAGATGTTGTCCTGAAATAATTTGCATTTTATAGCTTTCATGGTTCATGTATTGAATTGACCTTGATACTGAGTCACCAAAACAAATATTTTGTGACCTGTTTTTCATCACTAATTTCATTCTGACATTTCTCTAAACTGAAAATGGATGTTCATTTTTAAATTTGTGATTTTACAAAACAAAAATTAATCAAAGAGTGCCTGTATGTTCCTTCCAGTTTTGAAAGCAATAGTGCTTTACTTTTCAACTCCAGATGGCACTGCGGTGCTTAACACCACCCCGCTGGGGAGGGCTGCTGGAATGCAAAAGCAGGCAAGCCCCTGAAAAACAAGGGCTTGCTTGTTTTATGAGAAATCAGCTAAGAGTTTTTCCATGCAGATGTCCTATTTTGCTTTCAGTTCAGTGAAGACTGGGCTAACAAATGGTAGCTTATATGCCTGAGATAGGATTTGTGGAAGAAAGGACTTGCTTGTCTGTACTTGCAGGAGGTCACAAGGGTAGTAGCCCTTGCCTGCACCAGCAAAGCCTAATGCAGCCCACACTACTGCCAAATGAAGGGAGAAGCTCTGCTGTTGCACAGCGCTTTGTATTCATGGTGACTAATCCTATCACTGTATAACTGGTAATTCTGCTTTATAAAAATGTATTTTCAAGGCTGGACTGCAAACCATTGAAGTAATGAGGTTACTAATATCTTTTCTAGGGAAAGCCATAGACTTTACTGCTTGGAAGACATCCTTTGCCATGTCATGTCATCACCTGACTATTACAAAAATGTCTACAATAAATAATATTCTTCCTTCATGTTCATCCATTGTAAACCGGGGAATAGCATGTTCATATATTTGCTTAATGATACACTCACACGCGTCTATACTGCATCTTTTCTTACATATTTTTCTACAGATTCTATCCCCTTAGTTTTATAGCCATTTTAATTTTGTAGAAGTCTACCAGACTCCTGTCTTCTCTTTTAATGCTTCCCAGCTTCCACTGTAATTCTCAGTTTTGCAAAGAAAAATTTCTAAATGCTTGTTACATGACCTATGGACCCAGATGAAGTTCCCAGCTCCCACTGCGCAATCACTACACCATTGCTCAACCCAAGGCTCAGTAACATCACTGGTTCTTCTGTGCATTTCATATAACAGAGTTCTGGAATTTGCTCCATAGGCCATGATATCCTGTTCGGTTCCAAGCAAAACTCAAAGAATTTACATGGGTTCATTTGCAGTATATTGTATTTTTAACTGAAGTAAATCCTTTCCCATTAGTTAATGAAGCAACTGAAGACATATAGAAAAGGCAGGAAATTTGTCATACATCTTCCAGCACAGATGACTGTTTCGTTACAAAAAGTTTATGGGAAAGAGGTGAGCTCGTAAGACAAAAAAGAATAAAAGCGAGAGAGATATGACTGTTTTAAACAGGCAGGACCTTAAAATAGTCTTGGTTCTCTCTGAAGGACCATATGGAACACTTTTCCAAAAGCATAAGAAGTGCACACATACCTGCCCCCACACACAGAGGGTGTTCTTAAGCTCCCCCTAGAGTTATGAAATATTAGTGTATTTGCCATGTTAGTTCTGGTAAATGAGTAGCTCTAACACCAAACAATCCTGAATGTCCTACATTACTAACAATGCCTCTGAAGACTGAGAACCTGTACCACACCTGCTTTTGTTCCATAGCTCTGTAGCTCTTAATTGTCTTCTCCCCCTCAAAGTTGCGTAAGGACAGTGGTGGCTCCTGACAGCATAGTTGATATGTTATCAGCCTGTGTGACACAACAGATAAACATTTCTTCTTTCAGAGCGTGTTCATGTCCTTTCTAGGTCTTCTGAATAAAACTCAGAAAATGTCCTGAAATCAATTCTTTTAAATTCAAAATAAACTTTAATTTAAGAACACTGTCTCCAAGTAAAATTTATATACATTGTATTTATAATTTTGCTGCTGACAAGGTAACATTTACATGTAGTAACTTGCATTACTCACACTTAAATAGGATCCACTCAGTGTTAGACTGAAACCAGTGCCAGAGCAAATGTCTGAAAAAAAAACCCTTTTGTGTATAACCATGACACATATGATGAAAACAAAAAAATATAAGTATCTATCCTAATGAGAACAAACCAAAGCACCGTTGTTACATCATTAGAAAAACAGGATTGGCAGTAGAAACTATGTACATTTTCTGAAGAGACATACAGAGTTGTGGTGGGTTGACCCTGTCTGGATACCACTAAAGCCGCTCTATCACTCCCCTCCTCAGCTGCGCAGGAAGAGAAAATGTACAGAAAGGCTCATGAGTCGAGATAAGGACAGGGAGAGATCACTCACCAGTTACTTCATGGACAAAACAGACTCAACTTTGGGAAATTAGTTTAATTTATTACCAATCAAGAGTCTCACATACTTTAAAAGGTTGCAATTTGGGGTTTTTTGCCTTCTCTTACATGCCCAGGAAGCTGTAAAGTGTAACACAAATAACACAAGTGCTGTCAGCCTCCAACCTAACAAAACAGAATCAGCAACCATTTGCTTTTCTGACCAAATAACTTATATAGCAAGGGCAGTTGCATCAGACAAACATGTTTGATGTCTTCTATGGTCATAATCTAGACTTACTCTAAACCTGTCGGCAATTAGCTTGTTGCAAAACGTTTTTGATTCATTTTGCAAAACAGAGACCGGAGACAGTATCTGAGGAAAACAAAGAATGGAAGTAATATCTATGGATAGTGCAGCCTTCCAGAACTGAAGCAGGAGAATGAAACATTGGATGGAATGTAATGGAAACTGGTTTGCACAAAAGAAGTGAGTTTGTGTCCTAATTATTGTCCGGTGGAAACTCATTCTGCCAGCTCCTTTGTCGGCCATCTTCCCCTCTCTCTGCTTGCTGATGAAAAGGGTGCAAAACTTTGTTTCTTCACTAATTTAGGCCTAAACATTTTTGTTCATTTGTTTGTTTTTTTAAAGTACTACTCTGTTGCTGAACAGCCTAATATTTCACTTTTTGCTTCTGCTAAACCTGCTGCCAGATGAGGGCTGGGTGTGGGGGATGTGACTTAATATTAAATGCAGAAGTAGCGGTATCCTGAACAACCATGTATGTTGGGGATCAGAGTTCTTTTACTCTCTTTTCAGCTTTCAAAACAAAGCAGCAGCATTTATGAGATCACAGAAAATTTCAAGCCAGTTACAACTATCGTTCCTAGAGATTACTCTAGAACTAGATATTTTATTATTTTGGAGTGTTACATAAACATTCCGGAGAATGCTCTTGGTTTTCCCACTGAAGTTTTATTGTGCAATACTTGCCTTTTCTCTAATAAACTGTTTGCACATGTTCACTTGTTTCTCTGAAAATCTGGTGTTGTGGAAATATAAATTTTAGCTTTTACATTTTTCCGCTGCTTCCCTTCCTCTTAAGGGAACAATTCATCCTCCTCTTAATGCCAAAATGCAGTGATTGGTAGAAGTGCTGGGTTTTTTAAGTGTACCTGTTTTCTAGCAGCCATAGCTATGCAGGCAGATTTATAAAATTATTAGGATGGTGACACGTTCCTATTTTTAATGAGAAAATAAACAAGCTAAGGCTGAAGTTTTATGGCTCATCACAGTAAAGAGCTAAACTTCTGAAGTTTCTCATTTTAACTCATTCTGAAACTGTCTAAACCCACCCAAGTTTTTGTTATCTATCATCTTTTTTATCATTATGAAAATAGTGTCTTTAGAGCCTGCTGGCAGAGATCATTCTTAGAAAATGATAATCATAGTGTTGGTATTTCTTCATATCTGGGCTGACCATTTCAAACATCCCATCCCATCTTCTGGAACAAGCAGACCACACCATTTTCCAAAATTAATCCAAAGAAGATGGCAAACCAAGGGAGTATTCGATTCAAGTTCAATGTAACTGCAAAAGAAAACAGAACAAATTTATCACGTACCATTTAAGAAGATCATAGAAACCATGTGAGAATTTATATTCATTTGCATGTATAAGAAATCACACAGATCTGCATTCCAAAGCCATGCATAAAATTAACATGAAATTTTGATTTTCCAGAAACTCCAAGAATTCTATTTTATGTTTTAATGATCCATGATGAATTGTTTCAAATTCTAATTATGGATCTATTGGATATAATACAGCATATACAAAGGGATGATAGTGAGATGAGGTGCTTTTTCTTTTCTTAATAATAAAGTTTTTTGTTTCAATCACTTTCTATTAAAGTCTAAAGTTTTAAGCTAGATCTATCAGTCACATATCTGATATTGATTAAAAATATAGAAAGAATAATGTAACACCTGCAGTCTCTCACACACATTCTATACACATAAAAATAAAAAAAAGCAAAAATGTACCTCTAATTGCCTGAGAGTTTGATATCAAGACAAACACTTTTATAAACGCAAGGCACAAAGGTGTGTAGTCATGTTCCCAAATAACAGCTGGGATTAGCAAAAGCTTTCCATAGGTGGACAACAGCAGTGCTTTGAGAAGTAAAATGAAGTCAGACTTTCTTTTCAGCATTTCAGGTGTCATCCACCATAAGGTAATAAAAATGCCAATGAAAAATGAAGTTTGTTCTAAAAGGGAATAAGAGGAGTTGGAAAGAGAGAATGAAAAACAAAATCAATACTTGTCTTCTTTGAAAAGGTCACCAGCAATGAACCCTTTTCATCCAGCATAAGAAAAAATACTAAGGTGAAAACACCATTGAGCTACTAGACTTTTTTTGACACCATATTCCTGTGTTATGGTGGAATTAATGCAGATGTCAAAGACCCTCTCATAACAACTGTAATAGATGAGTTACTACTGAAAAATGAATTCAACATTTTTACTGACATGTTATAAGCAACATTAGACAATATATGATTTAAATTAAACTCTGAATGTCTAAGAGAAATACTAGTTTTAATCTGCAAGTTTGATGTAAACACTATCACCTGAAAAGTATGAGAATAAATGCATTAATCAACATAAAACAAAAACCCTCTCCTGCCCTCAAATGTAGTCTTAGAGCACAGATGTGTTTACTCTTTACTGGTCTGTATTTTTGCACATTTATTTAAAAAAACCCCAAACCAACAGATACGGCTTTTTCCAATTGTTTACTTTTGTAAGGCTCCTTAATGTTGTATCACCTTAATGAATAATATACCTTGAAGTCTACATCAAATATGGAATAAGGCTGACACCTACATTAGTCTTCAAACTATGTCAATAGATTCAGGCAAAGATTTCTGAATATTGTCACTTTTCAGTGTTTTCATATCTAATGCTAATCATACCAGTCTGAACTGTAATCAGGATCAAAACAGGCATTTAATTAAATGAAGGCAAATTAGAGAGCATGTGTGTAATAGTGTAAGCATACAGGGTTCGACATAACATTGATTCTGTATGTATTTTTGCAATATGGGCTTGAAAGACTGATGAAGATTTGCGATGCTTAAAAAGTAGACAGTGACATATCATCAATCTTACCTAAAGAAGCTATGCCAAACATTCTATAAAAATCCCATTCTTTGGCATATCTGATTAAGTCATCAGGATCTGTATTTTGGCTTGAATCCTGTAGCTGCAACCACCTGATATAAGCTTCACAGAGCAAACAAAATATGCAGAGCTTTCCATGAATCTAGTAAATGAACAAATAATAAAAGCATTAGTATTGAAGCAGCATAAATTTAAGCATTAGTATGAAATCGGTATTTAAAATATATTTCAACATCTTTACACAAACAAGCTCCATAGGTGATTCTGTTGAATCACTAGTTTAGCACATCATCCTTTTAATATCAGTTACGTCGACAGACAAATTACAACATGTAGAAAACTGCATGAATAGTTCAATATAGAAGAATGTATACAACTGTGGTTTCTAAAGCCTGATCCATACTTTTCTAAAATTGGGAAGGCTGTTTCATCTACGAATGCAAAACCAAAACTGTGCCAGCTAGGAGAATTATACTATCCAAAATTCCAGTTTAAGGGCAACTCTCCCATTTGGCAAACTGGTTTATATAGCCTTGTTTTTCACTGGGACAATCTCCATTAGAAGAAACTAGTAGTGTAGTTATACCAAATATTTCTTAGTTAGTAAAGGGTGAGGCGCCAAAAATAAATGGAGCAATACAACCAAACAAAAATATCCTCTGAAATGACTGCAAAAATGATGTTGTGAGGGCCCAAAGTTAGCATGTTTCCACATTAAACAGCTTATAAACTGTGTGTATGTGAGGTGATTTCTGATTTCATAGAGATTTAAAGACATAAATGCAATTTCTGTGCATGGATTCTATTTTTTCCATTAGAGGCGAGTTATGCGAATTGCACGTACATGCCCAGGCTTAGCTAGTTTAAAATTCAACTCGATTTATTTGAATAGATAACATTTCCACAGATAGAATAGTTCTTCCAGAACCCTCACAGTAAACATCATTACCAGTCTCCAGAAGCACCAAATTAATAAAAAATATTTAGTGAGATTTATGCTTGAGAGATGAGGCGAGTATATATATCAACATTGCTTAAACTGGACTGGCTAAGAGGCATCAACATGAACCCAGCACACACTTATGCTTGGATAGTTTGCTCTAGATTAGCTGCCCTCTCCTGGGAAATCAATCCTTACAGTAAAACTACACAATTCTGTCAGAAAGTATACACCTGTACACTACAGCCTGGCCAGCCCAACTAAGTTGATTATGTAACTCTGCATCAACAACATTTGAATCTTTTGCTGTAGCTTTGAGAGCATGGTTAATTAATCAGGAAGAAACTCATGAGAAATTAGTACAGTAGGTTTAATTGCCACAGTATTGTTAATATGGTATGTTCTACTCCTATAGCTCACTTCAGAGAGAATTGTTTCCAACAGAAATTTAATTTGGAAATTAATTTGAAATTAGATCTTTCTCTTACAATGTAATTTAGCACATCATCCTTTTAACATCAATTAATGTGATAGGCAAATTGGGGGGTTTAGAGAACCGTATGAACAGTTCTATACAGTTCCTTCTCTTCAGTGGGTAAACTGACTGCTGTATTTGCTGGTAATGTGACATCACTACTGTGAAGACAGAAACTGTCTTAGTAACAGCTGGAACTTGAGATTTCATGTGTTCTATTTATGATATAACTGGTTCAGCTTGCTGAAATCTGTGGAAGGGCAGGAGAAGAACAATCTCTAAAATTTTATAACTATTACAATCAACTTACCAAATCTAAATATATTTTTAACCAAAAAAGTCACAAAGTAGGGGCAGAGCAACTTACATTTATCTTTGTATTGAAAAGAATGTGCCTGTATGCTTGTGCTTTACATAAGACAGCATTAATCAAGATGATAACAGGATCATACTCAATATATTTGTCCACAGGTTTCTGGCAGGATTTCTGAAAGTTAAAAATCAAGAATTAGGGAAAAAAATAGAAAGCAAGAGTTTATGAAATGTTCCTATAATCTTAGCACAACTGCATAAATCCAAACTAGCTATTTAATTCTTTTTAGTCTTTCCTTAATTTTCAATACCTTTTGAATCCATGAAGAAAAATTGCTTCCCCTCTCTTGATACTGCAGTTGACACACAGGCTTCCCATATAAAACATAAAGGTACACTATCGATTTTTACAGGCTTCAGATTAACACTGCTAATAAACTATATAAGCATGGACTTAGTTATCATTTTGTGCTCCGCAGATGCAAAAAATAAAACTACTTTCCCAAGACTCAAGAAATGCACCAGTATCTCGTTAAAGGTTAACTTATCATGCCTCATCTACTGGGTATTTCGTTTGGGTTATTTTTGGTAATTTTTTGGAAAGAAAACTAATTTCTTCTATCACTTCCTTCTTTTCAGAGATGCTTTATCCTCCTATCCTACCTTCTTCTTCCTTTCAAGAAGACAGTAAATGTTTTTTGTTGTTGCATTGTTATTCCATACTGTTGTCTGGATGTTTCAACTGATTTCCCATTATTGAACAAATATCAATATATTCAGAATACTGATAATGTAGTTTTCATACACAGCTATAGCCAAAGAGTCAGAAGGTGCCACTAAACAGTGGTAGGACATTAGACCATTACTTCTTCAATACATGTGCTGGTTGCTCCTGTTCCTGCTGGAGAGGTTATTTCACCCAGACCACTGGGAACTGCTTGTCATCAACCTCCTCCTGCTTTACTGAACTACCTGCACGGCTGATCACTCCTTGAGTTAAATGAGAAGGGATAACAAAAGGCTGATACACTGTGAGCAGGAAGGTTAAATAACAGTCTTACAAAAGGCTCACCTAGCAGACCTGAGGGGAGAAATAACTTTTAGCAGAGAGCTGAGGAGCAGCAGCAACCACTTCACCTCAAACAAGTGCACTTGCAGAAGGGTGCTTGCCTGCAGGTCAGCTTTCTCCTGCTCCCGATCCTCCAGTTTGGCTTCTTGTCTCCTCCAACCTGTCCTCAGCTAATCCTGCTCCCCTGGGCCTTGGCATTAGTTGCCATGCTCAGAGTACAACAGTCCTAGAAATGATCTCTATTTCCATTTTAATGACGGTATGGCTGTGCACTACCAGAAGAGACATGTATGCACACCACTTTCTGAAATGCTGAACGGTCGAAAATGCAGCATCAAACAGCACACACCAACAGACAAACTCCCAGGAAAGGAAAAAAAAGTTTTTTCAGTTTTATAGATTCCTTATGTCTATGGTACAAACAGCAACTAAATATCACGCAGCTGCTAGCTCACTTTTCCCCCAATAGGATGAGGATGAGAATCAGAAAAAGGTAAAATGCATGGGTTGCAATAGGAACAGTTTAATAAATGAAATAAAGTAAAATATAGTAATAATAGTAATGAAATGGAAGATAAGAATAGAGAGAGATATAAGACCCAAGAGAAAAAAGTGCTGCACAATACAATTTCTTACCACCCACTGATCGAAGCCCAGCCTGTCCCTGAGCAGTGATTGGTCCCTCCCAGCCAGCTCCCCTCAGTTTATATACTGGGCATGACATTCTACAGTATGGAGTATCCCTTTGGTCAGTTTGGATCAGCTGTCCTGGCCGTGCTCTCTCCCAGCTTCTTGTGCACCTGCTGGCTGGCAGAGCATAGGAAACTGAAAAGTTCTTGATGTGGGGTAACTACTGAGCAACAACTAACACAGCAGAGTGTTATCAGCATTATTCTCATACTGAATCTAAACCACAGCACTGTACCAGCTACTAGGAATAAAATTAAATCAGCCAAAACCAAAAAGTGTCCAAAGTTAATTTTGCCTTGCTATTTAACAGAATTATTATTGTAAAATCCGAGAATGCAAAATTTCATCAGCAAATTGACTCAAAAGTCCAACATCTATATCAAGAAAAACATCCAAACAAATGCATAAATTGAATAGAATGTCTAGGGAATATTACAACTACTAATCAGTGTTTCTTGGTCCACTTCAAGGAAAAATTCAATTCATTTGGATTAAAAAAGAAAATACTGTGTATGATAGTACACAAGTTAGATATAATGAATTCAAAAACTGACTCAATTAACGAAGAGTTTGATAGGTCTAAAATTAAAGTGAGTGAGATGGAAGAAAGGACATAATTAACAGAAGACCACAGCTACAGGATTTAACAGAGTGAAAAAGAAATTGCCCCTTTAATTAAAGGCAGTGTCCTGCTTCATTTCTTTCTACTGGGAAATCATGAACAGATATTTTTATATGTGGTAATTTACATATGTCAAATCTCTGGGTTGATGTAGCATGGGAAAAGTCCAATTTTTCTAATAGGTTTATTCACACAAGCACTGGACAAGTCCATACAAAATAAGATTATTCTTCAACACAACGATTGTCATAAAGGTTAGATGAAGGATATCTGACATACTCTTGGATTTATTATGCTCTCAAGTTCTCCTACAACAGAACATTTTTTGACCAGGATCAAAAATCTTTCTGAGTAAAGAATGGTATTTTCAATCAGAGGATCCCAACTGAACACTGATCAAAAAATGTGCAGTTAAGAGGTACTGCAAAATTTTCACTGACAGCTGACATGAATTTTAGACCATTAAAACATATCGAACCAACCCTCTGGGCAAAACCAACGATACAGAAATTCTACTGCAGATACGTAAGGAGATTGCTACAAATGAATACACAAATAATGGTGTCTTCTGCCCCACAGTTTCTGGCAGCCAAATACGAAATTGTCTGCAGCTATAAAAATCATGTTTAATTTAGTATTTCTGTCTTCTAGAGCTAGATGAGAACCCTATTCTTAATATATTTTATATTTCCAGTTTACTTTATTTCTATCTGAATCTCTGTTGTAAGATGGAAAAGTCCTTTGTGCATATCCAGCCATCTAGCCAGCATGAGCTCATCCAGGGATTTGTGAGCCCTACAAACCACCTCTGCTGCAAAAGACTTGCGTACGCACTGCCAGAGACCAATTGGACAAGATGATGTTTGCTATACCGATAGAATATCACAGAATTAACATGTCCTCTAGGATGAATTTTTCTCCAGACCTGGCCTTTTTGATTATTTTTCTGGCTATACTACTAAAACATCTGACGCTAACCTTAAATGCCTAGGAAGGAAACCTGTGACTAGAGCCTGACTTCAGAAATCAGTGCAAGCAAGGGCTGATGCAGTTTAAGTACACATAGGTTTAACCAGATAGTTTTATCTAGTTAAAGTAATGTAACTTTATTGACACTGATAATCACTAATACTGTCAGAGAATACTGGTATGAGCAACTCAGCTCTGGAGAACTGCTTGCACACTTACTTTTAAGAATTCAGACAGGCAATTTAGAGTGAACTGGAACGCTGGTGCTCACGTCTCATTCCCAGCTGCAGTTCTGCACAGCTGTAGTCAATGGCCTTGGCAGCATGAGTGAAAAAGGCCATTCTTTAACAAACCTGAGCTTTTTCAGTCTTCTCTGGGCTTTCTTGAAGAAATGCCTCAGTTATCGTAACCAGTTCTAAAGCGATAGAAATGACTGGATTTCTCTATGCTTTTAGCCATTTTTCAATTTCTTCCTTAAATATGTAACTGACATCAGAAAAAGGAAGTAACCGGTATTTTTTCTTGAAAAAATAGACATTACTTTGACTAAAAGGTATTTTCAGATTATGTTGCAGAAGAGGAAAGGTTAAAGCTGACACCATAAATTCTATTTATACATCTTCTGAATTCGTAAATTTAAGGAAAATTACAAGAGTTTGATACTGACACACGAAAGTCCAACAGATACCGTGGTCCCCTAAAAAAGAGTGTTGAAAGTATTTCAATATTCTAATAAATTTAAACGGGTATTAGTTTAGGAACTGTTTGACTAACCAAATATTTAGGAATATTTGACTGTGCTTGTCCATTGTTTCAAAATAAAAAAAAAAAGCTTCCATTTTCACAGTTTAGAAATTTACTTAGTTTCTTTTCAAGAAATAAGCTAGTACAACCATGTTCTTCATAGCATAGTAGATCATATTCTTTTTGATCAAAGCAATCCAAAACATTTAGGGAAAGTAATATATATTTTAACATCTGAGTTGTATTACATATAACCAAAAAAAGTACTCATAAGTAAAATTACTGATATGTAATTCTAATGTTTATGACCTTTTATAAAACACTGCTCAAAAGACATAACTCTTCTTTGTTCATCAAAGATGAAAACTTGCAAACAGCGTTCACAAATGTATGCCCAATACAATAAAGTGTACAAATATTTGAGAAAATACCTACTGTCTCTGAAGGATAAAGTTCCTAAACATTACTTTTTTGGAGTCCAAGCTCCATCCTGATAAAAAAATACCAGGAAAACCACACCAGGAATAGGTTTGCAAATCTCTGGACATTAGAAACATCAGTGAAACAGTTTCATTTTAGTTTGACAAAAATATGCTACAATTTTTTGCTGGACTATACATACAGCAAATTTTAATAACATTTACATAACTTTGACATGAACATAGGTCTATTTACATAGGTTCACAGGGCAAATTAGCACAGAGCCATCCTCTTGTGAGAGTGCCCTGAATCCCAATTGCCCCCTTAAACAGTAAAATGTAATTAGCTGTGCTGCTTTCAGGAGAGAGTTCTTTATTAAGGATGCAATTAAGCGTCATAATAGGCTGAAAAATGAAACAGCCTGGTTTCAGATGCATTCCATTTCAGAAAACAAATTAAAAATATTCTTTTATAATTTTTTCCTACATGACACATTTTCCAGTAGAGCTGGTCTGTAAATAGTTATGTAAAATTCGCATACTTTATTTTCCAGGATGATCTTTGTAGTCTTGACAGATTTGTTACCTTACCATATAAATGCTTTGCATTCAAAGCATTTACAGTCTCTCCACCTTGCTGCAATAAAAGAGCTTTTCAATTATTTTTTAATTGCAGAAAAGCTAAATGAAGTGTGCACTACTCAGGCAATTTGGCTTTCTTATTACAAAACACAAGGGGGATCCTGACTGAGCTCTACATACTGCAATGAATAATTTTTTTCCCTTTGTTAGGGTCTGGAATGATTTTAACAATTAATTTTTAAATACAACAACATATATAAAATTGAAAACCAAATTTTTAAAAAGTTTGCATGTTTTTCCTTCTATTTCTGAGAAAGTGAAGTTTGCTAATTTCCTTCTATATTCATTGCACTTTGCGGAACTTATTCTAGGTTATCCAAATGTGTTCCCACCCCCTGCCCCAGCATTAATATTATAGTAGCAATGTTATCTGAGCAGTATTTTTTTCTAACTCTTCTTAGTGCTTGGTTTGTAATATATTCAGTGAAGATTTGCTGTATTATTTACAGATGAATTAAGTTTTAAGGATTTCAAAATAATTAACAAAAACCTTACCTAGAAAGAACCATATAGGCTCACTTTCACCATCACTTCTCATTTAGAATAGGGTAAGCATCAGTACGTTCACAGATTAGGACTAAAACCAGACCCATGAGCTGAAAAGTGACAGCCAAATGTCACCTTCATTGGAGGCAATCCTAACATGTCTGCACATCCCTACACCCTCTCCTGCCACTCCCCAGTTTTCATGCTGAGAACAAAGTATATTAAACAGGTCTTCCTGAGGAGGTGAGTTTGCTCAGAATTTTATTATCTCTTTTTAGGTGCCTTTGAGTTCTTTTTAAGGAGCAACAGTCCACCTGACTCTTGTAATGGCACTTCCACAGCCAAGGATACGTAGGATGAGAAAAAGGTTCATCCACTAAATGTGAATCTTGAGCAAGAATGAATGTGCAATGCCAGAAGTCTGGGCTAGGCATCTGCTGAAACTGGTTTTGATTAAACAAAACAGATATAAAAAGAAGTTATGGAACTCGAGGAATTTGTAGCAGTTAGCGATCTTGCAGAGCTCTTAACAAAATATATGGCCTTTCCAACTCAAGCTTCATGGTACTGTGCGGAGTTCTATGTTTTACAGAAGAAGGTTCCTTTAGTTTCTTCAGTATCCATTGCAAATTTATTCCCAGAGTGGATAGTAACACTTGTGAGGTTGGGGTTGTTCAGTTGGAGAAGAGAAGGCTCCAGGAAGACCCTATAAGCAGCTTTCCAGTAGCTAAAGAGAGCCCACAAGAAATGTGGAGAGGGACTTTTCACAACGACATGTAATGATATGACAAGTGAGAATGGCTTTAAACTGAAAGAGGGTAGAGTTAGAAATTCCTTCCTGTGAGGGTGGTAAGGTACCGGCACAGGTTTCCCAGAGAAACTGTAGATGCCCCATACCTGGAAGTGTTCAAGGCCAGGTTGGATGGGGCTCTGAGCAACCTGGTCTAGTGGAAAGTGTCCCTGCCCTTGGCAGGGGCTTTGGAACTAGATGATCTTTAAGCTCCCTTCCAACCCAAAACATTCTATGATCCTATTATACGGCTGCAGGCACAAGGTTTATACTTGCTCTTTTGTATCCAATTTGTCCTTGATTTCAAATACTAGTGTGAGATTCCAGATGAAAGAGCTCCAAAGAAAACAATTTACATTTTTATCATGTACCAATGATGAATTTCACCATGATTTGACCACGAACAATCTGATGCAGATCATATCCACTACTAAGCATGATACATTATCCTAACACAAGAAAAGCAATTAAAAATCAATTTTTCCTTGTAGTGTGCATGTCTAAAGCCAGCAGAAATCCATTTCTATCACTTTGTTTGCCTTTTACCTAAGAAAACTACTGATCTCATCAGTTTTTGAAAAGTCAGAGATTTTTTGTCTATGTTTTCAGTTGCTTTACGCTCTACAGCAACGAGCCATATAAAGTGACTGCTGGGTTGGGAAAAGAGAAAGACATGAATCAGCTCTTTCTACTATAATCAGTGATTTGTACATACCTTATTTCCACAGCTGCTTCTTGGTAACAAAAGCTGAGATCTAATATGTATCTCTTTCAACCTGAGGTAGGCCAGTTTATATTTCCCCAAATGTAAACTGCCCACAGAAGTCAACCTACAATCTCTGCTTTTGATCTAGGAAGTGTCTGAATGACTCAAAGTTAAAAAGCTGTAAAGGAATTCATCACAGATTTCATACAAAGCGTTTTGGTCATGTGTTATGTTCATAGCTTCATGGTTTGTAAATTAATGCATCTTCTATCAGCATTCGCAAAATGCCAAGGGCTTCAAAACCAGAGGGAACAACCACAAAGGAAATTTGAATGATACACACCTAATTCCTTAGAAAATATTCAACAACTGGTTCAAGCACCGGGTTTCCTCTATTTTAGAGAGACCAGACAGGATGTTATGAAAAAAAGTCACAGATAAAATCAAAGGCTTAGTCAAGTTGTATTTGCAGATCTCTCCATTCCATTTTTTCCCCATACTTAGCTTCCTAAGTGATCCAATTTTTTACATGCTACCAAAAAAAGTAGAAAAAAAAGTAAAAACTGACACCCGAGACACATCTACACAAACCCTATCAAAAGTTGAAAACAGTAACTTGGAAATACTTGAAAACACTGCTGAAAAAGGTAAATGTTTTTTTGCTGCCACTGCAAAATCTCCAAAAAAATAGGAGACGCTAAAAGAGAAAATAGCTATTTTAATATTTTGAAAACACTGTGAAAAAAAATAACAGAACTGTGAGAGACAGAGTGGGAAGGGAGAGCAGTAAATAGCCTAGAACATGCTGGTGCCATTTCGGAAAGCTGGGTAAGTAATACAGAAGTCCTTGTCTGTACATTCACAGAATCATAGAACATCCTGAATTGGATAGGACCCACAAGAATCATCAAAGTCCATCTCCTGGCACTGCACAAGACCATACCCAAGAATCACACTATGTGCCTTAGAGTGTTGTCCAAATGCTTCTTGAACTCTGTCAGGCTTGGTGCTGTGACCACTTCCCTGGGGAGCCTTTCTGGTGCGCAACCAACCTCTTCACGAGGGTGAAGAACCTTCTTCTAATATCCAACCTAAACCTCCCCTGACACAACTTCATTCCTTCGAGTCCTGTCACTGGCCACCACAGAGAGGAGATCAGTGCCTGCCCCTCTGCTTCCCCTCATGAGGAAGATTTGGACTGCAATGAAGTCTCTGCTCCAGATCCTTCACTATCTTTGTTGACCTCCTTTGGACGCTCTCTAACAGCTTTATATCTTTCTTACATTACAGTGCCCAAAACTGCACACAATATTCAAGGTGAGGCCGCACCAGTGCAGAGCAGAGCAGGACAATCCTCCCCCTCGACTGGCTGGTGATGCTTTGCCTGATGCTCCTCAGGACACAGTTGGCCCTCCTGGCTGCCAGGGCACTGCTGACTCATATTCAACTTGTCACTGACCAGGTCCCTTTGAGTAATCATCAGTCAGACCGTGACATTTAGGTCCAATGGTATGGGAGCTATGTCCAACCACATAGCCATGCTCAGATTCACCCTTCAGCGAGAGCCAAGCCAAGCACACACAGCAGCAGACCCACTGCACGCCCTGTACAGGAGTGCACAGGACAGTCGGGACAGTGCTACCATGCAGGTGCCCTTGAGGAACTGGAGGAAATGACACTGGGAAGCAGGGTAGATGTAAGACCTACAGAATCACAGAATGGGTTGGGTTGGAAGGGACCACTGTGTGTCATCTGGTTCAACCTCCTTGCTCCAGCAGGGTCATCCTAGAACACATGGCATAGGATTGCATCCAGATGGTTCCTAAATATCTCCAATGAGGGAGATGCCACAACCTCTCTGAACAATCTGTTCCAGTGCTTGGTCGCCTGCACAGTAAAGAAGTTCTTCCTCATATCCAGGTGGAATTTCCTGTGCATCAGTTTCTGCCCATTGCCTCTTGTCCTATTGGTTGGGACCACTGAGAAGACCACCTGGCTCCATCCTCTGAGCACCCTTCCTTTAGATACGTACATACATTGATGAGGTCCCCTCTCAATCATCTCTCCTCAAGGCTGAACAGGCCCAGCTTTCTCAGCCTTTCCTTATAACACCTGGATTCAGGGAAAACGGTCACAACGCCGCCAGCAGGAGGCGCCCCAAGGGACCGCAGCGCGCTTGCAGGCGGGGCCTCCACCACGTGCCACCACCTCCGGGCGTCGGAGCCTCCCACGCGCATCCTTCCCTATCCTTCCCGCCCCGCCCCGCCGCCCTGGGCGCGACTTGACTCACGCAGATGGAGATGCGGAGCACCCCGCGCCGGTAGTCCCGGTACAGCTCCGCCGCCTCCCCGTTGCACTCGATGCAGCGGTAGGCACCGAGCGCCGCCATGGCGCGCGACAGCACCTCCCAGCCCTCTCAGCGCTCCCAAACCGCCGCCTCGCTTCCGCGTTCGGGGGCGCAGCCGAGCCGGACCGCGCCGCCCTGCATTTCGGGAGTTGTAGTTCTCCCGCCATGGCCGCCGGCTGGGGCGCTTCAGCGGAGAACTCTATGTCCCAGGGGGCAACGCGGCGGCGGCCCCGCGGGAGGGGCGGTGAGAGCGCCCCGTGTCCCCGGCGGCGGCAGCGCGCATGAGCACTGTGAAGATGGCACCTGCCGGCGGGGTGGCGCGGGGTCTGTGGGTGCCGGTGGCTCTGCTGGCCCTGCTGGCCCGGGCCGCTCTCGCCCTCACCGAGCGCTACCCGGCGCTGTCCCTGCTCCAGCAGGAGCGGCACCGCCAGCGCCACGGCCCTGCGGGGGAGTGGGCGGAGCAGTACTCGGCCGAGTGCGGTGAGTCTGGGGCGTCGCCGCGGTGATCGCCCGCAGTGCCGGGTCGGCGGTGACGGAGCCGCTGGACTGGCGGCGGGAGGCAGTGGGGTGGTGGTGGTGGGCGGCCCGGGCGGTGCGGGGTTCCGGCGGCCCCTCGGCTGTGCGCGCCGGTGCCGCTGAGCTGACTCATCCCGGAGCATCTCCCGTGCGAGCGGCACCCCCGAGCAGCGCGGAGCGGGGGCTGCGGCACCGGGCACAGGGAAGGCTCTCACCCCTTGGACGGAGAAACCGTACGGCGTGTGGTACCACACTGGAGGATTCCTGCTGCCCCACTCCCCTCCCGAGCCTGGCAGCTGGATTCTGCCTGCTTTTTAATCCCTTCACTCGGGAGCGTGGGGACATGCCAGCACCTTGTGCTCACTGAGTTTCTTAGTACAAGAAAGACAAGGAGAGGATCCAGTGGAGGCCCGCAGAGATGATTAGGGGTCTGGAGCATCTCTCTTATGAGGAGACACTGAGAAAGCTGGGCCTGTTTAGTCTAGAGAAGAGAAGACTGAGAGGGGATCTCATTAATGCATTTAAATATCTCAAAGGCAGGTGCCAAGAGGGTGGTGCCAGGCTCTTTTCAGCAGTGCCCAGCAGCAGGGCGAGAAGGAATGGCCATAAACTAAAACAAGCAGAAGTTCCACCTCAACATGAGGAAGAACTTTTTATTGAGGTTGGCAGAGCACTGGAATAGGCTGCCCAGTGAGGTCATGAGTTCTCCCTGTCTGGAGACATTCAAAGCCCACCTGGACTTGTTCCTGTGTCACGTGCTCTAGTGACCCTGTCTTGGCAGGGGAGTTGAACTAAATGATCCCCAGAGGTCCCTTCCAACCCTGAGAATTCTGTGGTTCTGTAAGTTGGATGTGGCTTGATTTATTTTCAGCCACAGTTACACGTATTTTGCTGGTGAACTGGGTGCTTTTCTTTATGAGAAGTTTGGGTAGCAGGTCTTCTGGTCTTTTTCAAGTTAATTGATGGCTTGTAATACAGGCACAGTTAAAACTATTTTTGTGTTTCAATATCTTTTGCATCAGAAGCATGTGGCTTAATCTCTTGTGATCGTTGATTGTGAGCATGGTGTGAATGGACCGTACAAAAATGCCAGTCTGAATCACAATGTACACGTAGTACAGATGAAGAAAAAGGTTTATCAATTCATTGGAATGTAGACACTAAATTATATATAGGAGAATAATCAGTAATGTGTCATGACTTCTTAGCTGTCAGCACCATTTTATGATTTTCCCCCCTTTATTTCATTAAGCCTGTGCTCACATCAACAGTTCCTGTGGTCCCTAAGAACTAATATGCAACTAGTGTAATCCACTTGAATTACAGATTTTGTAGAAATACCTTGTTATGTATTTGCTGCATCTGTGCTTTTTCCTTTCCCCCCCCGCCCTTTGTGTGTGTACTTTTGTCTTCACATTATATAGTTCTTTGGTTAGTTGTTATCACTTTTTTGGGGGGGTGTGGGTGGCTGCAGTGGCTGAGAGCCACAGAATGTAAACACTAAATCAGATTGTGAAAGTTATCTCAGATAACCATTGCTACACTTTATTCAAGTTTAAGCACAAAGCCAAGAAGACTTTCACCCAGTGTTGAGATCAAAATCTGTACACCATACAAGTTAATAAATGGCAAAGCACTTGATTACATCTGTTAGTAAACTTGACGTGAATGATTGACTCAGGATACTCCTTCAGAGTGTATATGGAAGATTAGATTTTGGTTTAATGGTGGATGTTGTTTTAAAGAGACCAGTGTATCTGGGATTGATACCAGGAACTCTGCTGAAATCATCAGGTACCTCAGGTACTTTGCGTGCATGATAATAAGATAGCCCTTAATTACAAAACAATATACTTATCTTGAAATAGCTGTATACCAATTCACTTCTTGCTATTTAAATAGCATGACTAAATAAATTGCTCATTATAAAATTCCTTTTGCTCTTGGTCTTTTGTTTCAGTACAACTTTCACAGAAGCTGAGATTCTTTTTGTTTCAAGTACTTGAGGTCCCGGGTAATTTCTCTGGTTGATGTTTCTTGTTTTTCATAAAGTTGTTAGTGTGGTACAGTTTTGATTGTATCTGACTTGCAGACAAAGGCAGATCCATTCTTCTTTGTGAGTAAAGCAGTTTGTTGCCCCCAAAACTGCAAGATATTAGGAGTCCTTTCCGCACTATAGCTTGTAACAGGTAGGCTGTTCTTATTCCCTGCCACCTTATTAAAAAATTCCATCTCTGAATTTTTGCTTTTGTGCAGAACACTATTGTGGAGGTAGGCCATACCTGCACCTCTTTGTTTTGGTTTCTAAAGTGAAAATTACTCAGTGAGTCTGCAGCCAAAACTCACTGATTTATGAGCACCAACAAGGAAAAAGTAACATGTTAATAATGCTGCCATAGCACAGGAGGGTTTGGCCAACGTGAGGAACAAAGGGCAGTGTTGAAACCTGCTGTCTTTTTGGGAACTATGGGTGGTGAGCCACTGTTCTCACAGGACTTTCTGACTTTATACTTTGACCTTCTGCTTTTTAGCACTCTTACTGCTGTTGTAAAACTTCTACTGGTTATCATTTATGGCTCAACATAGCTCCAAGTTCCTATTTACAGGAAATGATTTTAGATGCTATTTTGACTTCTCTTTATAAGGAGACTTTTTCTCTTTTAGCTCTGTGATTGTGAGAAATAGGGAATTAACTAACTGCAATCCTTAAGAAGTCAAAGAGCACACTGCCCCCCAGCCTTTCAAACTAAGCTTCAAGCTTATATTTACAAACATTAGGGGAGATGATAAAATTTGGTATTTGTGGCATGGATTCAAAGAGATAATACTGTATATCTGCTTTTTCTTGTTTACTCTTGAAATATTTCAAGATAATAGAAGCTTTAGGACCTGAAGATTTAGAGGTACCAATTCTGCAATTAAAGCACCATATAGAGGAAGTAGTGACTTCTATAGTATATCAATCTGGGGGGATTGTTGATTTTTATTATTACTTGTTTATATGGTGTCTTAAACTTTTTCTCAACAAGCTGTGTTTGACTTTTTATAGGTTTGAATCAATCCTACCCTTTTTGTAATGCCCTTCTTATTAACGTACCTGTGGGGACCTTTGTATGTGGTCAGTCAATTACGGTTTACTATTCTGGCTGCTTTTTAGTCTTTATATCTCTGTTTTCTGAATCTCCAACAGCAGCTCTTTCCCTGCCTCTGTACAGTCCATTCCATTTATTTCCTCTCTGGGATTGCAATGATAATTTTATTTATTATTTCTGGGGCCAGAGAATGGAATCATAATGCTAAAAGGGGACATGTCTACCCCAAAGTTTTGTTATTTGCTTCCAGCATCCTCCTTTTTTTACCTTCACCCCCTTTTTTAGTACCTTTTTTTTTTTTTCATTTATTTTTAGCCAAAAACAGAAGCACAAGTAAACAGAAAACTAACTATATAAAAGCAGTCATGAAAACTATTGCTTCCCTGGCTGTGTGGATGTAGTGCTGTGAGCAGAAAGCACTTCATGAAAATTTTGCCCAGTGGAGTACCCAGTGGGGAAACTGTTTAGCTGAACATGAGGAGATGTGAGATGTGATAATAGAACACACATGTAAGGTATTCCTAAAGGTATTTTCTTTCTTTTCCCCCAGATTCATCATTTTTGCACTTCCATGAATCGGATTGTGACATAGGAGGGTCATCGTCTTGTGAATCTATGCTTTCTCTGAACACAGAGAAAATTCTGGTATGCTATCAAGAATATAATGTACAGAACAATTTTAATAGATTGTTGAAGTTGCAGATCACTTTTGCTCCTTAACCAGTTAGAATGAAGTTCAGGGAAGTAACTACAAATAGAATCTGTTAATCAGTAGGTGTAGGTGCCCAAAAGACTTAAGTATGAATGAACTCATGTTGCTCATAAAAGTATTACTTTGTAGTGCTCCATCTCAAGTCTGTAGGGCTGTCAGCTAATTGAGACTGATGTTTTCACTGAAAGCTAACCTTCACCTCAATTAGTCAACTGATTAATTGTTTGCATTTAGGGGTGCAGGGGCTATGCCTGAAATAGGGGAAGGTGCATTATTTTTTACCCAGATTAGCTTCCTGAGTTTTACCACAAAATGTGTATATTTGCAGGAATAATGACTTGCAATCACTACAGAAATAACATTGTGCAAAGACAAGAGTTAGAGGCTTCAGGCCATATTTCTCTAAATGTAATGCAGACATGGCATGTGGTGAATATTCTAACAGAAGAAGAGCATTTCTTGGTAGAGAGACTTCAAGAGGATTATCTTGTAATTTGAGTTTTCTTGCAACACTGCTGTTAGCCTTTTGATCTTGAACAAATATAATCTTCAGTCTACATCAGAACACAGGTTTGATGTTACTTCTTCAGTCCAGTGTAGTCAGAGGTATTGAAAATCTTGAAATAATTCCCATATGAATATATAAAGAAGCCTTGGCAAATTTGTAGGAATTATTGGCTATAGGGGAGCATGGAAACAAAATTGTAATTGGAAACAACTTCTCCAAAGGTGGCATTTGGAAATAAAACTACTCTACAG